CAAACAACGTCAGACGCATCTTACCTGGGCTAAAGAAAAACAGACTTGGTCTGTTGCTCAGTGGTCCAAAGTCCTCTTTTCTTATGATTGCAACTTTTGCATCTCATTTGGAAACCAAGGACCCAGAGTATGGAGGAAGAATGGAGAGGCACACACTGCAAGATGCTTGAAGTCCAGTGTGAAGTTTCTACAGTCTGTGTTAATTTGGGGAGCCATGTCATCTGCTGGTGTTGGTCCACTGTGCTTCATTAAGTCCAGGGTCAACTCAGCCATCTACCAGGAGATTTTGGAGCACTTCATGCTCCTTCCGCAGACAAGCTTTATGGGGATGCTGACTTCATTTTCCAGCAGGACTTGGCACCTGTCCACACTGCCAAAAGCACCAAAACCTGGTTCAATGACCATAGGATTACTGTGCTTGATTGGCCAGCGAACTCGCCTGACCCGAACCCCATAGAGAATCTATGGGGCATTGCCAAGAGAAAGATGAGAGACATGAGACCGAACAATGCAGAAAAGCTGAAGGCCGCTATTGAAGCATCCTGGTCTTCCGTAACATCTCAGCAGTGCCACAGGCTGATAGCTTCCATGCCATGCCGCATTGAGGCAGTAATTGCTGCAAAAGGGGCCCAAACCAAGTACTGAGTACATATGCATGCTTATACTTTTCAGAGGTCCGATATTGTTCTATGTACAATCCTTGTTTTATTGATTGCATGTAATATTCGAATTTTCTGAGATTGTGGATTTGGGGTTTTCATGAGCTGTAAGCCATAATCATCACAATAATGACAAATCACGGCTTGAACTATCTTGCTTTGCATGTAATGAGTCTATCTCATATATTCGTTTCACCTTTTAAGTTGCATTACTGAAATAAATGAACTTTTGCACAATTATTCAAATTTTTTGAGTTTCACCTGTACATCAGATCATTATGTCAGCACTGATCTTACCTGCATTTACTTCTAAAAATCTTGTGTCTATGCTACAGATATTTCCCAGCATGCATTGCAAACCATGATTCATAATATAATGGCTAAAAAGGGAATATTACATTTGAAAGTTTTGCATGAAAATTACTATATATATGTAGTGAAAGAAATCTGTTTTTATTAGATTTGGCATCATGCACATCATGGGGCAGCACAGTGGCTAAATGGTTAGCACTTCCGCCTGGCAGTACTAGGGTCGTTGGTTCAAATCCCAACCACGGCACCACCTGCCTGGAGTTTGCATGTTCTCCCTGTGCCTGCGTGGGTTTCCTCCGGGTACTCCGGTTTCCTCCCACACTCAAAAGACATGCTGGGATCCTGTCTAAATTGTCCCTAGTATGTGTATGTATGAATGTGAGTTAGGGACTTTAGATTGTACACCCCTTGAGGGTTAGGGACTGATGTGAATGTACAATATATATATGTAAAGTGCTGCATAAATTGACGGCGCTATATAAGTACCTGAAATAAATAATGAAATGCCTCACTGTTCTTAACTGCACTTCTTGTTACAGGCTGACAACGCTAACTCACTATCTTTCAATTAGCAGAAATGTCAGCCTACCATGTATATGCCTTCAGTTGGCTGTAAAGCCTGATAGATGTGGCGTGTACTGTGCAGCATACACATCCATTAGCCACTGTAATATTGAGCTTGTGTTGCCTTTTTCTCTATTTTCCACTATGGAAACGTATTCCTACAGGGTGAGGATTTCTCCATTAAGGCCTATGGGGGAAAAAAAGTCATGTGTAGTACTGCGTGTCCACCAGGTAAAATATTTATTATAACTGCCTATCTGAATTGCAGTTTTTGCAGGATAAGTCCGCTTCAAGGATTCGTTATTCATTGTATCAGAATCATATAGTAAATACAGTACATAATATATAATAAATATAATGGGCAATGCAGCTCCCATAGGACCAGTTCACACCAGAATTCAGTGCAGGAAACCTTTCCTGCACCACAGTCAAAACGCACTGCACTTGCCATCTGCAGTGTTAGTGCAATGCTAACGCCACTCCAAATGCAGATTGTTTCCCTGCACTGGATCACATAGTACAGAAGTATCATGTGATCTGCTTGCTCTGCATTTTGGAAAGTAGTGCATGCACTGCTTTTGCTGCAGTCCAGTGCAACTTCATCTCCATGGAATGAATGGGCTGAAATTGCACTGCACCCGGACTGCATATGAATCACACAGAAATTCATGGTGTTAACCAGCTCTTGAAGGAAGACATTACGTTGTTTTTTTTGCAGGTATCACTTGTTAAAGCAAATGTTTGTTTCTTTCACATGATGATGATTATGATTACTTTATGATATTTATCACTGAATGAATTAACAGTTTCCCGTTGTAATTTAAATAAGTGCACAATTTTGCAATGAAAATAAAAAAAATGTCCAGAAGAAAAGGTAACTTGAATTCACAGCACTGGTCCATGAGATAGATCAGCCAGTGGGTGATTCAAACCGCTCTCAACCTCCAAATGAAAAAATTGTTTTTGGGTGGATTTGTTTTTTAAAGGAAGTACAAACCTACACATACAGATCAGTTTTAGATGCTTTATCACATACTGAAAATTGTTTCCATCATCTGCAGATGCTGAAAAAAAAAAAGAAAAAACCTCAGAAGCAACACAGGAAACTTTTGCCTACGTTATAGTTCGTCATCAGTCTCACTGTTTGCATTGTGACCTTTCTGAAGTGGTGTGGGTTTTTTATCAGCTAGCTTGAGATGTTGTAAGTGTATAAATATTGGACCAGACCCCTAGTTTTTGGTATGCTATTTTTTTAATTTATAGTGGTGGGGTCTACAGTATAATTTATGAAGGCTTTGCTGATAAGGGAATAAAGGAAATTAATTTTCAAAAATGAATAAATTCCACTATCAAGTTTTTTTTTTAAAACAATCTGCACCAAGGTAAAGGCCCGGAAGCATGGGCATTTCAGATCACTTAGAAATGTATGTTTTGATTTTATGCCATCACACAAGTCAAAGTAAATCCATAGTGAACACAATCACATCTCATTCCTCCAATTACAGTTGTTCTTAAGGGGTTTACTTTTTATAAAAATTGGACTGCTGAATTTGCCCCCTGAGCCTCATAAATGTTGTAGCAGAATTGAATAATGATCATACATGTGACACAAAAAACTTTGTATCTTGCTTAGGATGATGTTTAACCTCCCTGGCGGTATTCCCGAGTGTAGCTCGGAGTAAAGTTTCTGTACCAAAAGCGGTAACCCCGAGCTACACTTGGGCTTACCATGCGGCGCTGCATAGGGAGTCCCTCCAGCACTTACCTTGTCCTTCGCTCCCGTGATGTGTCCCCTGCAGCGTCCCCGGCCATCTCCTCCGGCTGATGCCAGCATCTGGCTTCTGTGTTCCGGTCCCTGTGACGTTGGGACGTACGGGCGGCGGGAAATTTGAACATTTTAAAAAAATTTCATTTTTTTCAAAACGAATTTTACATAGTAAAACATTGCTGTTTCAAACCATTTCACATACATTTTGTCCCTAGTGCTTTGTCCTGTCCCCTGTCTGCATTTTGACTCTTTCTGCTTGGAAACTTAGAAAAGTCCATGGTGTCCAAAAAGCGTCCCTTTAGGTCAAAAGCGGTTTTAGACCAGCTAGAGAACAGCGATAGTAAATTAGAACCACTTGCAGAATTGAGTGATGATTCGTGGGGAAATTCGTCATCAGACACTGAAAACAATTTTGCGACTTTGCTCAGTGATGTGTGAACTTGGCGCTATATTTCAAATTTTAGTGTTTTTGGTTTGATTATATTATTGAATTAAATGTATTATTATTATATTATTATTTTTTATGATTATTTATTAAATTATAATTTATGATTTTGTGTTTCAAATTTTATCATACCCGGGATGTTTAATAGACTCTTGTTCGGACAGATTTCAGTGAGTTATTCCTAAATATTACAGCCTACAATAAAAAAACTACATATTTCCATGCAAAATAATGGTACCGCTTTCAGCACCAAAAATCTGAAATAATCATACCGCTAGGGAGGTTAGTAGAGGCAAATTTCCACTGGTCCAAGGCGTATCTAAACATAAAAACAAAATGTAATATACTGTATTGTAGTTAACCAGTCCCTAGGTGTGGCAGGTGCTTTTTCTTTTTTCAGGGTTTTCATCTTGATTTTCACCTTGTAAACCTGTAGATAACATACTTCCTTGTCCAACCAAGGATAGCTATGCTAACTAACTTCACATAGTAGTCACCCAGGCATGCAAACATGTCTTCCTCTTTTCGGGGGGGGGGGGGGGGGGGATTTTTTTCTGGCAAAATCAACAAATGTTTTCTGTACTTGCTGAAACTAATGTGGTCACAAATTAGACTGATGCAGTATATGAAAAAAACAAAATGTGCCATGGAATTGCTAATCCTGTTTACAGATTTAGCACTCTCTAAGGGTATTCATTGCATTTTTAGTTTAAAAAAATAAAGTGAATGATTTGACATCTTAAACCAGCCTAATTTAATGAAAATAGGTTAAAGTAATGTCAGGTAAATGTGCAGGGAGGAAAACATTCACCCTTTTCTTACAAAGGGCAATACAGTAAAAATGTTTTGCTTTTTAAGAACAGATCTTGCTGGATGTCAGGGAATCTAATATTTACTGGATGATCTTGGGAACATTTCCACAAATTCAGCTTGATGGATCTGGTAAATGCTCACCAAAGAGCTTACTTTAACTTGTTTTTGGCAGATAATGGGCATAATCATTGATAAAATACACCCCTTTAGAGGGCATCATTTGTAGTCAAATTTTGCATTAACCATTATCAATTTGGATAGTGCTAATGTCTTGATTTGCACTAATGGCAATAGCAGGGACCTACGACCTAGACAAATGATGGCAGAAAAAGCAGGAAGATTACTAGTGCTACATTCATTTATGACTATTACAGCATTTTAAATCTGTGTTTTGGGGTAGTTGTATGGTGTTAACGTGTTACTAAACCCAGGACACTGCATTCACTATATCTGCTCTACTACAGTACACAGAACATGGAAGTGCAATTATTTTAGTAAAATATAAACTGCTAGATACCTTTTCTCATCAGCAGTTGGAGCAGTCTTGTGACTTCTATCAGTGTCCAGCAGACACTGGTTGCAGCTTGTAGAAGGAGTTTTTATTCTCCTGTAGGAGGATGCAGGACCTCTGTCTGGAGAGTGCTGATTGGTCATGGGCTGATCACATGCACTCTCCCAAGGAAAAAAAAAACTCTAGCAATACACACAAACCTGAGCATGTGCAGCTTGCCCCCGAGCCTCTGTTCTATCAGGAGATATTTAGGAGACACTGGAAGAAGGGGAGGATCAGAGAAGGCAGGATCAAACATCCTTTTTACACAATGTGGAGGATTAACCCCTTAGGTTCCACAGTGTGTATAACAAGCATGCTAACCCCGGAAACCACTAAGCAACTCATTCACTCCCTTATTATATCATGACTTGACTACTGTAACTCCCTCCTCACCGGCCTACCTCAACACAGGCTATCGCCGCTTCAGTCTATCCTGAATTCTGCGGCCAGACTCATCCACCTTACTAACCGCTCCATATCCGCCACCCCCCTCTGCCAATCCCTCCACTGGCTTCCGATTGCCCAACGCATAAAATTCAAATTACTAACATTGACGTACAAAGCTGTTCATAACACTGCCCCAAACTACATCACTGACCTGATATCCATCTACCACCCAAAACACACTCTCCGCTCCTCACAAGACCTCCTACTCTCTAGTTCCCTGCTCTCCTCCTCCCATGCCCATCTCCAGGGCTTCCCCCATCCTCTGGAACTCACTACCCCAATCCATCAGACTGTCACCTACCCTCCTCACATTTAGGCGTACTCTGAAAACCCATCTCTTCAGGGAAGCCTACCCCGCCCTCACTTAATTGCCGATCTCCTCCACTCTTCCTACCACTCCATCCCCCACAGCTATTTCCTCCTGTACCACTATCCCCTCCCTCCTAGATTGTAAGCTCCAAGGAGCAGGGCCCTGGAACCCCTCGTGTATTGTATTGTTACTGTACTGTCTCCCATTATTTTGTACAGCGCTGTGCAAACTGTTGGCGCTATATAAATACTGTATAATAATAATAATAATTTTCTGCATATACAGACTGATTTTTACTGTTGTGGGTTTAGTAATACTTTAAGTTCAAATCCCACATTTAGTACTTTCAGCTTAAAGAAGAATTCTGGGTAAAAAATGTATTTTCCCATGGAGTGGGGCTATGCCCACACAGCATGGGTTAAACACTAATTTTTGTCTAAGGATTCCCAAAGCTTACTGTACATATACTCGCCTAATCCGCCAATCCTCCGAGCGCAATATTGATCCCCTCCACTCCTGTCCCTTGCACTCTCGCGGTCTTGTGAATGGGCTGTTCCTTATGTCATTATGCCCTTAGACTGATTCTGGAATGAGGATGGCAGGAACAGTCCTCCGCTGGACGTAGGGGAGCTCCGTTTCCTGGAGGATCGGAGGACAGGGTAGGTATAGCTTTTTCCTGAGCCCCTTGACAAAACAAGCAATTTAACCCATGCAGTATGGGCACAGCCCCACTGCATAGGAAAATAAAAATTTTGACTGGAGTTCTGGTTTAAGCTATCCATTTTCAGTTTTTTTTATTTTTTCCTTGGAGAAATATTGATCTGCAGTTCTTGATATCCTTCTAAAAGTTCTATTTGTTTGGCTTTTTTTGCTGACCCACTGGCTACAGTACTTTGACCCAGAACAGTGATGAATATCAGGAAGGTAAAAATAAAAATCACCTGCATGTTTGGTTTCTGCATTAAGGACTCAAAGTGTCAAAGCAAGATATATCTAGGGCTTGAAATATAACTGATAAGGTTTGAGATTGTGAAGTTTGTCAAAGACTTGTTCTGATGTCAACACTGCCGGAGTATTCGAGATCATGTTTGCCAATATGTGGTTCAACTCTTGGAGAGAATTGCTGTAAGGATCTTTATTCTAAGAATTGGCTCATTCAGACGGCACAGGGACATGTACAGCATGCAGAAGGACTGGTAGGCACAGTTTTGTTTTTTTTTTTTTATACAGCCATGGCAAACTGCCTCCTTAAAAAAAAAAAAAAAAAAAAAAAAAATCAATGACAGGCTTACAGACTTAGTGGCTATCAACATCTTCCCGCACACCTGAGCACAGGGATGGATGCGCAGCCCTGGATGCAGTCTTGGCTGGGGTCCAGGAACGTGCAGCTGTCCCTGTACGGATGTAAACATTCAGATATACGGAAAGATCCGTATATCCATTGCCCTGCCTAATATTAATTTTTAAAAAGCTACTCTCCACTGCTGCATGAGAAAACTGTCACTACTGAGCTCATAAACACATGCAATTCTGCATGCTGTGAATGGGCCATAATATATATACATCTTAGAACTTTGATTTCTCAGATTTTTATAATGCCAGTGGACCATCCAGGGGCCTTACCAGTTTCATGCAGAGCTTTCTTTTCACAAGAATATCTATTTTATTGTTTAGCAGAAGAACCTTTGTTCACATGTACATATAGGACTAAACTATTTGCATTGTTTTTGCATTTTTTGTAAGCGTTCAATGTAGGTTTTTTTATGTCTTGCACCTGGAGTAATTCAAGGGTGTAAAAAAAAAACAGGAAAGAATGAGGCTTTTAAATTATGATTGCACTACTTAAAGCTAAATTAAATAAAGTATTTTCCTCTTACTGCCACTATACTACAATATATTGCCAAAAGTATTGGGACACCTGCCTTTACACACACATGAACTTTAATGGCATCCCAGTTTTAGTCCATTGGGTTCAATATTGAGTTGGCCCACCCTTTCCAGCTATAACAGCTTCAACTCTTCTGGGAAGGCTGTCCACAAGGTATAAGAGTGTGTCTATGGGAATGTTTGACCATTCTTCCAGAAGCGCATTTGTGAGGTCAGGCACTGATGTCGGATGAGAAGGCCTGACTCGCATTCTCCTCTCTAATTCATCCCAAAGGTGTTCTATCAGGTCGAGGTCAGGACTCTGTGCAGGCCAGTCAAGTTCTCCCACCCCAAATGTGCTATTCCGTGTCTTTATGAATCTTTCTTTGTGCACTGGTGAGCAGTCATGTTGGAACAGGAAGGGGCCATCCCCAAACTGTTCCCACAAAGTTGGGAGCATGAAATTGTCCAAAATGTCTTGGCATGCTGACGCCTTAAGAGCTACGTTTACTGGAACTAGAGGGCCAAGCCCAACCCCTGAAAAACAACCTACCCCACACCATAATCCCTCCTCCACCAAACTTTACACTTGGCACAATGCAGTCAGGCAAGTACAATTCTCCTGATAACTGTCAAACCCAGACACGTCCATCAGATTGCTAGACAGAGAAGCATGATTTGTCACTCCAGAGAGAACACTTCCCCACTGCTCTAGAGTCCTGTGGTGGCATGCTTTACACCACTGCATCCGACGCTTTGCATTGCACTTGGTGATGTAAGCCATGGATGCAGCTGCTCGGCCATGGAAAGCCATTCCATGAAGCTCTCTACACACTGTTGTGCTAATCTGAAGGCCACATGAAGTTTGGAGATCTTTAGCTATTGACTCTGCAGACAGTTGGCAACTTCTGTACTGACCCTGTTCTGTTATTTTAAGTTGCCTACCACTTCGACTGACTTGAGTTAATGTTGTTCCCAGTTGCTTCCACTTTGTTATAATACCACTAACAGTTGAACGTGGAATATTTAGTAGCAAGGAAATTTTACAGATGGACTTACTGCATAGGTGGCAATTCACTGAGCTCCTGAGAGTGACCCATTCTTTCACAAATGTTTGTAGAAGCAGTCTGCATACCTAGGTGCTTGATTTTATACACCTGTGGTGATGGAGGTGATTGGAACACCTGCATCCAGTGATTTGGAGGGGTGTCCCAATACTTTTGGCAATATAGTGTATGTCAATGGTAGCACAAGAACAGCACTGCAATCAAACTGATAACCAACATTGGGCAGACCAACACTGAAAAGGTAATGCATTGTTTCAAACTTGTTAGAGGCCTTCTATTCTTCATTGTCATAAATACTACACAACTGACAGGGTAGCCCAGCTAGCCTCCACATCAACTGCCCTAACCTACATAACTGGAAAATTTACTGTCAAGGATATTTAACCTATCTACTCCAATTCTTGGCTCGACCTACTGATTGAAAAATGTTTTTAAAAGCACACTTTTCTACTATTATACTACTACTAGGCCACAACTTTCAGTTTTTTTTTATAAATAAAATCACTTTAATGATGGAAAAAAATTCTCAAAACTATGGTCCCCGAGCTGCTATATGCTGAATCCTGTAAGATAATTATGAATGATACCAACGTCCTATGTGTATACTACTTTTTCTGTTATTTTTTTCTTGGTCCTTGGTCTTTGCTTACTGCAGTTTTTTTTTATATGGGCCATCAGAAAGACTGCAGTGATCTGTAGTTCCGCCTTTTTGTCTCCCCATAACTTTTATTTTATAGAGGGATTCTCCTAAATCCCAAATAAAATTTCTGCTAAATTGGCCCTAATATGTGTTTATGAATGTAAGTTAGGGACCATTTACACCCCAGCTGATGGAAACCAGTAGTAAATTGTAGAAGACTATAAATTTAAAAAAATAACATTGTTTGACTCACTACAATGTGTTTAAATTGATCTTCAATAGACAAGATGCATAAATGCCATAATCTAACACAAAAACTAAGCTTTACAAAAAATAGAGGCTGTGTGAATTCGTCTATACTGGAACTATGCTAAAGGTATTTTAACCCATTTCCAGTGGAAACCCAGTAGAGATCATTAAATTGATCAGCAGAAAAAAATAAAATACAATTATGGTTAAGATCATTAAATGTGTTATGGTGCTTCTGCAATGCTAGTTAATGCTTCTGCTGTCTGCAGTGCTGTCTGGATCAAAAAACAGCTGCACAGAAGTACACCTCTTTTGACAAGTAAGACCATACCCATTGTGTATTTGACAAATTGTCCAGTGTTCGTGTTTTAACATATCAGTTTAAAAAGTATTTTAGAAAGCTTTAAAAGGGAAGTGCAACCTAAAGAACAAATTCCATAGTTGATAAAAATCTACAAAGTGTTAAGACAGTGGGCATAAACTACTAAGCAGTCACTAATATTTTACAGATTCTAAACTGGTTACTCTTTTACATCATGAGTATTATGAACCATGAACTTCTAAGTTTGTGTCTAGCATATATGTCAGCTCCCACTTGGCATATTCACTGTTTCTGAGACTGAATGCTTTTCTATTCAGTAATGACTGTATAGTCAGCTTGTGGATTAATACTTAAATGTCAAATTCCCTAAATAGTTTACATAGGGCAAATGTTTGACCCACATAATTATTTTACA